TGAGGCCATTTATTAAGGTGACTGCACATTGAGGAAAGAGAAATAATTGACTTTCAGGGAATACTGGAGGCTCTTTTGGAATTGACACTAACTCCTAGAAACCCAAAATGTCATTCTGATTTATCAGTAAAAATAGTTTATGGAGGTCAGACGAATGATGGAGGTTTACATACACAAAGATAAACTCGAAATAGATAAAAGACCTCAATGTGAGGCAGGAATCTATCAAAGTCCTAGAGGAGAACATAGGCAGTAACCTCTTCAACATCAGCCACAACAACTTCTTTCAAGATACATCTCCAAAGGCAAAGGAAACAAAAGCAAAAATTAACTTTTGAGACTTCATCAAGATCAGAAGTTTCTGCGCAGCAAAGGAAACAGTCAACAAAATAAAGAGGCAACCCACGGAATGGGAGAAGATATTTGCAAATGACACTACAAAGGGCTGATATCCAAGATCTGTAAAGAACTCCTTAAACTCATCACACACAAAACAGATAATCACATCAAAAAATGGGCAGAAGACATGAAAAGACGCTTCTCCAAAGAAGACATACCAACGGCTGACAAATGAAAAAATGTGAATCATCAGTAGCCATCAGGGAGAGTCAAATCAAAACCACATTGAGATACCACCTTACACCACTTAGAATGGCCAAAATCAACAAGACAGTGAACAACGAGTGTTGGAGAGGATGTGGAGAAAGGGGATCCCTCTCACACTATTGGTGGGAATGCAAGTTGGTGCAGCCACTTTGGAAAACAGTGTGGCGGTTCCTTAAGAAATTAAAACTAGAGCTTCCCTATGATGCTGCAATTGCACTACTGGGTATTTACCCCCAAAATACAGATGTAGTGAAAAGAAGGGCCATCTGTACCCCAATGTTCATAGCAGCAGTGGCCACAGTTGCCAAACTGTGGAAAGAACCAAGATGCCCTTCAGCGGACAAACGGATAAGGAAGATGTGGTCCATATACACTATGGAGTATTATGTCTCCATCAGAAAGGATGAATACCCAACTTTTGTATCAACATGGATGGGACTGGAAGAGATTATGCTGAGTGAAATAAGTCAAGCAGAGAGAGTCAATTATCATATGGTTTCACTTACTTACGGAGCGAAGGGAATAATACGGAAGACACTGGGAGATGGAGAGGAGAAGTGAGTTGGGGGAAATCAAGGGGGAGACGAACCATGAGAGACTGTGGACTCTGAGGAACTAACTGAGGGTTTTGGAGAGGAGGAGGGTTGGGGGGTTGGGTGAGCCTGGTGATGGGTATTAAGGAGGGCACGTATTACATGGAGCACTGGGTGTGGTACATAAATAATGAACACACACACACACACACAAAATAAAAAAAAAATGATGGAGGTTTAGCACAGGTCCATGGGGTGGGTGTTGGAGGGGATATTGGGCAGGGCATGGGGAAGGGGACCTGTGGTGTGATCAAAGACCCAGAGAAGAAGAAACCCAGCAGAAACCAAAAGAAGGTGAGAAAGGTTTTGTTGGAAGGTGATGGAAGTTAAAATTGGAGTGCTTCAAGAACTAGCCCTAGATGTTTGGACTTTACTTAGTCACCATTAGGGTCACACTGCTGGCTCTGAACAACAGTGGGGCATGAAGTAAGATTCTGTGCCGGTGGAGGAGTGGATAATGGTCAGGGAGATACAGATGAATGAAAAGATTCCTGATAGTGAGCAGTTTACAGTGGAATGGTAAAGCAAACACGGGAATCAAGGCAGGATATGATGAAGACCCAAGAAAGGTGTGAAATCAGAGAAAAGAGAGGCCTCATACCAAGACTGGAGACGAGAACTGCAAAACTTGTCTGTTTAATGAAGTGCTTCAGCGACTTGTTTAACCTCGGTTTCTGAGTTCTGCCTCTCAAGTTAGATCAGTATTCATCATGTAGCTTCAAGGATGGCGTCTTATTTGCTGGAGATATCTAGTCACAAGAGTATTGACATTTGCTCGAAGTTTGTTAACCTTAAGTCTTCTGTTCACATTCCCCCAACTGCTATCAAAGCAGGGGTATGAAGCTGATACAAAATCACAAAGTGAGTCCTGGGTAAAGGCCCCGAGCTCTTGGGAATCAATTCTTTTTGCGTTGTCTCCTAGCAACTTACTGGACCCTGCTAAGTACTTGCATTTTAACAAGAGCCCCAGGGATTTCTACCCACATAGAAGTTGAGAAGATGTGAACAAATGCTAATCCCTTTCCTTCATTCCTTAATACAACTTCATTTGGCCTCAGGTGTTGACAAGGTGTCATACACAGAAACAGTGATTTTTTCAAAGAATCCAATATTTTAGGAGTGGGAAGGATCTTAGAAACTATGTAAGCAGAAGGGAACCATGTGATTTCCATTCAAACCAGGATATTTTTGAGAGTGATAGGAAGCTTTATTAAAATATGTGCCAGGACAAAAGGTGAAAACCAGGATTGTTCTGAACAACCTCATGATTGAGCATTTTACTCTCAGCTGAATTTTTAAAATATAATCTCAAATCCCAATAACAACCTCTCCAAGTGGGTCTTATTAGCTCAGTTTTCAGAGATGATAAGTGTAGTGGATTTAGTGGATTGAAGTGTAGCCTTCCAAAAGACATGCCCAAGTCCCAACCTGTGAATGTGACCTTATTTAAGAACAAAGGTCGTTGCAGATTGAGTATAATTAAGTGAACGATCTCGAGATGAGATCACCCTGGGTGAGGGTGGGTCCTGAGTCTAGGATGACAATGTCTTTATCAGAGAAGAGACAGGAAGAGAAGACTTAGCAAGACTGAGACCATGAGTGGAATGGTGCTGCCACCAGCCAGCGAATGCTGGGAGCCTTCTGAAGGGAGAGGAAGCAAGGAAAGTGTCATCCCCACTCCTCCCCAGTTCTTAGGGAGGAGCTTGGCCCTGCAAGAAAATCAAGTTTTCTTGTTTTGAGTCATTAAGTCTGTGGTCATTGGTAACAAGGTAGCCCTAGGAAGTGAACAGAGTACGTGAAGGGAGTCCAAACTGCAGGAAAGGAAACAGGGTTCTACTTGGGTTTCATTCAAAGAGCCTCAAGGGCTGCAGGAGAGGGGAGCGGTGAGGTGAGTGCTGCGGGGAGCTCTGGGACCACCCACCCTCTCTCCCCTTCCCTCCCTCTCCCTCATCACTTGCAAAGGTGAGTCTATCTTGGCTCTGCTGTGTTTTAGGCAAGAAGATGGAGAGCTTTTGCACTTGCACACACTCGCTTTCTGATCTCTGCGGAGAGCTTTGTTGTTAAACAAAGTAGTTTCAAACTCACAATGGCATCTGACCCGAAAATGAGTCCATTTTACTGATGAGAAAGCTGAAGCACAGAAAGAGTAGCAGCCTGAGCTTAAAGCTTTTGTCTGCAGTCAAGCTAAGACCACACATTCCATTTTACTCTCATTCTACCATTCTGTTGTGGGACAATAGTTCTTCCACAACAGTGAAAAAACCCAAAACGACAAACCGAAACCAGTTCATGGAGTTTGGTCATGAGCTACAGAAATGACTAAGGATTGTGGGCAGCACCTATGTCCGGCTGGCTAGAAAAACTCATCCTTAGGCCGAGTTGCAGGCCCTGGGTGTTTGCTGGGTAAACTCTGGCCCAGTCATTCAGCATTCCTCAGTCACCTTCCTTTGAGGAAATATAAGGAGAGTAAGAATTTTGCCTCAAGTATAAATGTTAAATGAGTCAATATAATCTTTAAGGTTTTATGCTAAATAGGTGTTTGTTTTCAGCAAGAACTTGGGACAGTTTTGGCAATCGTGTCTTCCTTCTTTTTGTAAACTGGAAGGTCATACAGAGAAACCAAAACCCTGAAACTTCTTCATTCATAACTTGGTTCTTTTAAAAAAATTTTTAACAGATTTTTATTTATTTGACAGCGAGAGAGGGAGCACAAGCAGGGGGAGTGGGGGAGGGAGAAGCAGGCTCCGCGCTGAGCAGGGAGCCCACAATGTGGGGCTCCATCCCAGGACCCTGGGGTCATGACCTCAGGCCAAGGCAGACGCTTAACGACGGACACCCCCACCCCCTGCCCCCATAACTTGGTTCCTAGGACCAACTCGTAATTGTTTTTTCTTTGCGATCCCCACCTGGCAGGAGGTGCGGAGGACTAGCGTTTACTTTCTTCGCCTCGAGGTCCTCTCCTTTCTGCGCCCCATTTCCTCCACACCCTGGGCAGGGGCAGGTTTCTTTGAAGCGTTTGCTATCGACACTGGCTTATTCAGTTCGCTCGCCCTCCCAGTTTTTCCAGCTTGAAACGACACCCGAAGGAGGCCTGTGTGCGTGAGATTCCGGCCCCTTTCGGTCGCGCTCTGGAAGCTCGGGCAGCCCGATGCTCTGTGTCCGGCAGGCTCAGGTCGCGAAAGCCACGGAGGGCTCGGCCTTCCCGGTGTCCTGCGGGCGGGTGAGGCCGCGGGGTCCCGCTCGGCCCGCGGCGCGCGATCGTCGGAGCCGGGCGTCCCGCGCTCGTGCGCGCCGTGCGGGTGGCCGCAGCGCCCGCGCCTTCTCCGGCGGAGAGCGCAGCCTCGGCCGAAGGGCGCCCGCGCCGGGGAGATGGCGGCCGCGGGGAGAGCCTTCCCCTCCGCGGACGAGCGGGAGACAGGGCCGCGCCGCTGCTCCGGGAGGGGGGAGGGGGCGCGGGAGACCCGGACGCGGCGCCAACGGCGGCCCCGCCGCGCCCGGGGCCTTCCCTCTCCCCGCAGGAGCTTGTTTTACAGCCGCGACCTCCTCCAGCGTCCCGGATGCATCATTCCGGGGGTGAAGAAATGCTAACGTGTTGCCCAAACCTCCGCTCCCCAAAGGACCTTGGCCGGGCGAGCCGGGGGAGGCGGGGCGCGGGAAGCAGGGGGGCGGCGGGGGGCGGCGGGGGGCGTGTGCGGCGGCGCGGGCGGTGCGGACCCGCCTGGAGGCTCCGGGTTGGGTGACGGGGGAGGCGGGGCGAGGCCCGGCGCCGAAATAGGGCGCCCGGCGCGGGGTCGCAGCCTGCCCCCGCCCAGGGCTCGGCCTGGCGCCAGTTGCGCCCGCGGCGCGTGTGCGGTGGTGCGGGGCGCCCGCGGGGCCGCGCGCTCCGGGAGGGCCTGGGTGACTCAGCCGCTGAGTCGTCGCAAACGCCGCCCAGAGGAAATTAGGCACCGGGGTGGGGCCCGCGCCGCGGTGTCCCTGCGCTCACCCCAGCTCGGGTCGCCCGCCGGCGCGCCCAGGTCTGCGCCCGCTGCAGTGGCTTCGGCGCGGGCCTCCGGCGGGGAGAGAGTTAACTGGCGCGGCCGGGAGGAGCCCGAAGGGGAAGGAAGGAAATTGCCGTCGTGCTCAAAGTTTTCTCCTTCCTTTCCTCCTTCCCTGCAGAGGGGAGTCCCGGGAGGCGGCGGCGCTGACTCTCCGGACCCCGGCTCCGCGCCTCTGTTCCCGGAGCTGCCGCCGCCTGCCTAGGGACAGGGACACAGCTGTCGCGCTCGGACCGCCTCCGTGGACCCCTTCTGAGAGGGCGCGCCCAGCCATGGAGGGCGCGGAGCTGGCCGGCAAGATCCTTTCCACCTGGCTGACGCTGGTGCTCGGCCTCATCCTCCTGCCTTCGGCCTTCGGGGTGTCTCTGGGCATCTCCGAGATCTACATGAAAATCTTGGTGAAAACTTTAGAGGTGGGTGCCCGGGGGATGTGGCGCCCCGACACCGCTGAGGGCTTTAGGGAGAGAGACCCCGGGGCGGTGGTGGCCTCCAGCAGAGCTGTTGAGAGCCGAGCTGGTGCGAGGGGACCGTCTCGGAAGGTCAGCGGGCCCGCGGGGCGCGCGTTCGTCCCCCGCAGTCGCGCGGAGACAGCGTCTGGGCTACTCCCGCAGAGTGGGGGTCCGGGCTCGGACCTTGTCGTTCCCCTTGCTGGGTGCAGAACCCCCTTCTTCCATAAACCACTGCTTTATTACTAGTGTTGGTTAGATCAACAAGGCAGCTGTCTTTTATACTGCAGATTTCTGTCTGTCCGCCAGCTAGTGCGTGGTGTCCCTTCGCTCTGCCCCGGTTTTACAGCCCCAGGTTTCAGAGGTCCTTTCACGCACTAAGGCTGTCCAGAAGGCACCATGTTCCAGTTTATGCTCAAGATAAGAAACCGATTGCTGGGCGGTAGAGAGAAATCTGATTATATTTTAATGGAGTCATGGAAATTTTATCTAACCAAAGCACTTGAAATGTCATTGAAAATGTAACTTTTTTGACCTCTGTTCTCCCTGCACTCCTGCTTCTCAATTCTGCACAGAAAGCTGTTAGCCGGTGGGGAGCCAGAGCAGCTCAGCCTTACGCGGAGCTTAAGAACATGACTGGGGTGGGGGTGGGGGGCTTTCCCTTCTCTTTCATCAGATGCTCCCCACTGCCTTGGAAGGGAGGGAGGGCCAGTGTTACCCCCTTTTTCCAGGGGAGGGAACAGACTCAGAAGTCAGTGGTTTGCTTGAATTAAGTGGAGACAGGAGTCTTAGTGAGGAGAGGACCTGTAGTCAGTGATGAGGAGACTGGATACAGGTTTGCTCAGATTTGCTTCCAAAGTCAGCTCCCCTTCTCAGTTTGTGACCTCAAGGAAGTCACCGACTTCTTGTGCTTTATTTCCCTCATCTGTAGAATGGGAATAACAATATAACATCTATTTCCATAGGGTTGTTTATTTTTTAAAAAAGATTTTATTTATTTATTTAAGAGACAGAATGAGAGAGAGAGACAGAGAGCAAGCATGAGCAGGGGGAGGGCCAGAGGGAGAAGCAGATGCCTGGAGGGAGCCTGAGGCTGGGCCTTGAGATCAGCCTGAGGCTGAGATCAGGACCTGAGGCTTAACCCACAGCCACCCAGGCACCCCGCACAGGGTTGTTTTGTGAGTTAACATGTCAAGCATTTTAGGTGCCTGTAGGTGTTAGCTGCTAAAACATTGTCTGCGGCTTTTAATTAAAATGAATAATATTATTATTTAGACACTGCCACCCTTTTTTCTCTAACTTCTACAGGACCTTCCAAATCAAGTTCTCATTTTTCTGTCCTTATCTTCAGTCTACCCGCAGGCCTTGTTTTTTTTCTCCCTCAGTGAGTTGGGTGGCTGCCAGATACACATCTCTAAACTGCTGGTCTCCCACGTGGAGATTACCGGCTGATCTCTCACCCGCTAACCTGCAACTCTCTTCTACCTGCTAATCTCCTGTTTTGCCCCAGATTTTTGTTGCACTTTCCTTCTGTGGCTGCTTTCCTGTGTCATCTCTGAAGTGGGATTTGATTCTTCATCCTCATCTTCAGGTTTTAAAGATTCGGTTTCTGCGGGGAGATGTGGGGCAGTGCTTAACTTTCCTGTTGGCTTCACACTCGGAACTTGGTCCCTCTGTGCCGTGAGTTTCTTAGGCTGCTTCTTTACTGCTAGGTCTTCTTCAGATACTCTCCACGTAGCGGACGATCCTCTTTGGCTGGCGTTCAGAACTCTTCCTCAGAACTCTGAAACGACTGAGTTGTTCCCCCGTACGATATGTCTTTTGGAATTTATACCCCAAGTGAGACTGGAGTGGAGGGAGATCCCACACACTGGCTTCCAGCCTCTGACTCCTGTCTGTCGTGCTTTGATAATTCAAGGTACAACTAAAAGAGCTGTCAAGGAGAGAGACCAGCTAGTTGCTGTCTTCCTGGCAAACAACTACTATACTTGGAAGGGATGTAGCCAGTTCAGGATCTGGTCTTCAGTTAGGTAGGGCCTGAAGTTTTCTTTTTTTCTTGTCTGTTTAGAGTTGAAGAGACTTTCAGAGAGGCGCTGCTTGTTACTGGGAGATAGACCATGTAGCCTGGAAACCAGGTAGATGGCAGCCCAAGGAACTACCCTCTTTGCTTAGAGTAAGTTACTGGGTCAGAGTGATGGTCGGCATATATGTAATTGGAATGGGGATTCATTTTGTGGGCCAACCCTGACTTGTCGCTGACTGGAGCGCCTGTGTTTGGGAGCGGCTGGGCTCCTCAGGAAGGAGCTGTGATCCCAGAGTGATATCTGCTTTAGGCACCGAAGAAGGAAATGGTGCCTAAATGGTGCCCGGCTTCTCCTCCTCCTGCTAGAACAGCTTTAGATGTTTCACAGACGTTTCAGTTGGGTGGTACAGTGCATTGCTTTTCCTGACTATAGGGATAATTCCCTTAAAAATTGTGCTGGTTTTTCAGGATTCAGACATTTTTAGTTCTGGACAAATACATCGCCCTCTTGTTGATTCTGTGCAAGGCCTGGTCCTTCTGTCACTCATTATTCCTTAGCACTTAGTTTTCAATGGATTTGGTGGTTTCTTTCTGTAAACTGGTGTTTTCCAGGGGTATATCATGATTTCTAAGGAGTTTATACAGCATTATTGCAACTTCGTATTGGGAAAATTGTTTTAGGAATTCAAACCATGAACAGTAAAACTTTGGGGTGGGGATGTGGAGAGGGTGGTGCGTTTGGATGGTGGGACATACAAGTCGGAATCTCTGGGAAGGTATGTGTGTGTGTGTGTGTGAAGTTTCCATGTTTCTTTCAAACAGGAGCATGGATTTAAGATAAAAAAAAAAAAGTCATTTCCAACCACGGAAGCTGACGGGGCTGAGGGTGGTGAAGGACGGCTATGCGTTGGCCCAAGGCTCGTGATTACAGGAAAGTGGAGGTGGGAAGAGAGTATCAGTAAAGGAACAGTAGAGAAGGCAGGGCAGTGAGACGTGAATAATCCAACCAGAGAGCGCAGGCTATGGACAGATAATGAATGTTGATGCACTAATTTTTCTCTCACCCTTTGAGAAATAAGCTGGACAGATTCTTTGGAACTTCTGGCCCTGCGACCTTGAGTAGGTCACTTAAGATGCCACATGGGTGTAGAGAGAAATGACTCAGAGAGCTACGGCGTGCCTCCATGGGGGAGGTCGAGGAAAGCACCAATACGCGGGAGGTCCTCCAATCCCAGTGCTGCCTGAATTGGAACACTCTTTGTTTTTATTTGTTTTTGCTTTTGCTCCTATGTGGCTAAATAACCTACCTTCAGATCTTTAGTGAGTCTGTATACTTACTCAGAGCAGACTATTTTTGCCTTTTAATTATTATTCTTTCCCTTTACACTCCATCCACCAATTAGTTTTTCATCTTCTTTACAAGGCATGTCAATAAATGTCATGTCGGATGGTTCTAGCCCCTCTGGTACTCTAATACTCAGGCATTACTGCTGCTGTTGGAGATACAATAAGCGTGTTAGAAGGCCACGGCGGTTTATGACAGAAAGTAATAATGAAGAAAAGCTGCCCAGGCAGTGTGCTTGGTGGCACAGCTCTCTGACAGGCTGTGCCACTCCCGCCGCCAGGTGAGGGAATGGTTATTTCGAGCTGGTTCATCCGGATAGCGGCACACAGCTGTTGGTGGTAGAGTTGGGATTTTAATCTGGATCTAGAGCCCGAGTTCTTACTCTGCCAAGATGACAGGCCTGTCGAGAAACGGTTTTATGCTACGGACAGCGGCCTGCTGTGATTTGGATAAACCTTATATTTGAATTTTTATATAATTTTCATCCTCTCCTTTTCTCTTTTTAGCTAATTTTTAAATGTTTTTAGCGTAAGAACTGAAAGTTGCCATTATCTAGGTGACAATGTCACATTTTTGCAAGCTTTTGATCTAAGCTTTAAAACTCAGACTGAGGGGTACGTGGGTGGCTCAGTCAGTTAAGTGTCCAACTCTCGATTTCAGCTCAGCTCTTGAACTCAGGGCTGTGAGTTCAAGTCCAGTGTGAGTCTTGATTTCGGCTTAGGTCTTGATCTCAGGGTCATGAGTTCCCATACTGGACTCCACACTGGGTGTGGAGCCTACTTAAAAAACAAATAAATGAATACATAAGTAAAAAGGAAGATACCTTAAAATCGTACCTAACACTTTTTGTGTGTGAATTAGAGACAGCTGCTTTTTGCTTCCCAAGAGGATTTTTATTTTTTTAAAGATTTTATTTATTTATTTGACAGAGATCACAAGTAGGCAGAGAGGCAGGCAGAGAGAGAGGAAGAGAAGCAGGCTCCCTGCGGAGCAGAGAGCCCAATGTGGGGCTCGATCCCAGGACCCTGAGATCATGACCTGAGCCGAAGGCAGAGGCTTTAACCAACTGAGCCACCCAGGCGCCCCCAAGAGGATTTTTAAAGTAAAGTAGAGTGAGAACCCAATGGGAAGTATCTTTCAACTTTTCTTTTTGGGGGTGGGTGGGAAGTAAGATGGGAGTAACAATGGGGATTGTTAAAAGCCACCGTCATACTTCAGGATCTTCTTGTGGACAGAATTGCATTTTTCATGTTTCCTGGAGGCAGATGTTTTCTGATATAACCTCTAGAAGAGGCTTAGAACTTCTGAAGAAATATTCCCCATCTCTCTCTCTGGGCTACCTGATTAGTTGGCATGGTAGAAGCGACAGAGTTGTTTATTGGAAGATGCAATGGCGGTCTGGAAAAAAGTGATCATTTTGGAAGTTAAATAAATTGTAAGGTGTGAGGAGGGAGGAGGAAGCCAACATTTTCCACTTTGTGGCCTGTTGTGTGGCAGTCATTGGATAGATCACCTTCTTTAATCTTTTGTCTTGGTACTGTCGCTGGTTTAGGGATGATGAAACCAAGGTCCCAAGATGTGAAAAATCTCCCCTCTGAGATGAGCCCAGCCCAGAAGTGCAGAGCCAGAACTCGCATGCACAGTGTCTGGCTGCAAAGCCTGGGTGCTTTCCACCTTCCCTGGGGAGTAAGCCCACAGGAGAAAGTGGTTCTCTACTACACATTTCCTTTGGCATTAAATGACTTCTCCTCCAACCTGAAACTTTGCTAGTCTTGGACACTGTAACTGCATTTTGTAGGACAGACCTTGGAGCTACCGACTGAGGAGCATGTATGCCTTCTGACACTTGCCTGGTGACAGAACGCGGAGCCCTGTAGCACATCACGCTGTAGGATGCATGCCCCTGTATTAGTCCGCCAGGGCCGCCATCACAAAATACCACAGATTGCGTGCTTTAGATAATGGAAATTTATTTTCTCATAGTTCTGGAGGCTGGAAGTCCCAGATGAAGGTGTGGGCAGGTTTGGTTTCTTCTGGGGCCTCTTTCTTTGGCTTGCAGATGGCTGCCTACACACGATCCTTCCTCTCTGTGTGCAAATCCCTGGATGCTTGTGTTTGTTAAATTTCCTTTTCTTAGAAGGACACCAGTCATGTTAGATTAGGGCACATCCTAAAGGCCTCATTTTAACTTTGTCACCTTTTAAAGAAGGCCTTGTTTCCAAATGCAATCACATTCTGAGGACTGGGAAGGTAGGGTTTCTGTGTATGAATTTTGGGAGGAGACACAATTCAGCCCATAACAGCCTCAAAATACCAGTTTTTTCCATCACATGAGCATGGAATAATTGTCCTAATCTAACGTCATTGCTGCTTATATAAAAAATAAAATCACCTGGCCACAAGAAAAAAAGTGAGCTCCAAGATAACAAATGTTTGGTTATGACAAAATTTTATTTTAATCCATCTTTGGTCTAATTATAAATGACAATAGGTACTAAAAGCTTTAAAGTGAAAAACTGTGGAAATAAACCTTCACGTCTATCGAGAGGAGAGGAGATGAGAGGTATGTCTAGAGTTTGAGGACTCCTGCATTAAATCACCAAAGAAGGAAAAAGGCACGATCAGATTAAGATTGAGTCTTACTATCATTTGTGATTTGCCACTTGAAGGGAGGAAGATTAAGTGTCTATTTATAGGCTGTTCTCTAAGGGCAAATAGCATGTTCCTACTTGGCTCTTTGGGATGTTGTGCGGGGTCCTGATGTACTCAGGTCATGCCCTTCTCCTTGACCTCCAGGTATGTTTTAGGTTACTTAGTCTTTGTCCTTCATTGTCTTATTTATTTGCATTTTAAAAAATCTGTTTAATTCCTTGTGAGTCTAGCAATACCTGGTTTTTGGCCATTATATTTTTGAAAAATTCTTTTTGGTCCTTCAAGGGCACTGAAGTCCTACTTATAATGATCACAATGCCTTTTACCTCTAATTTCCCACTTCCTCTCCAATCACTCAGTTTAGACAAGGTTAGCTTCTGGAATTGTAATCATCAACATATTTTAATAATTTTAATCATTCCTTTTCTAAACTGGAAAAATAGCCATTGGCATTTTCTGGGTTGCTACCAACAAAGTTCACTGGGGAGTAAGCCCACAGTGGTCTCTGAACACTGATGTTCATGGTGGATAATTTTGGAAATGCGTAGGAAAAGTATAAAGGAGAAAATAACAAATTACATCTTGGTATATTTCTTTATATTCCTATGTACACTGAAAACAAAAATGGGAATTGATTTTTCCTGTTCTTAAGTTCTTGCAAACCTGTGGTTCCGCATAATCATAACATTTCCCTGTGCATCTCAATAGGGGCAAGTGACCAGGTGACCGGGTGATGTCTTCAGCCGTTCCCCCACTTTCTTTCCAGTCCCCCAAGTGTGGGCAGCCCCTTCCGCAAGCCTATTGCTGATGCAGGCAGTTAGTCTCTCTGAGTGTGTCTAGCCCCTGAATGCCTTATTTGTTATGAAAACTAGTTATTCTTCGGCTCCTGTGTTTAGTAGGTATTCATGAGGGCGAGCGTTCATCTCTTTTGATCCTCATGGCAACCCTGAGGAATAGGAACTATTGTCCTCATTTTACAGATGAGGAAACTGAGGCCTAGAAGGATTAAGTACCTTGAACTCAGACTTGATGCCATAACCTGTGCTGTCAAGGAGTCCTTGATGGGGGTCCCAGGTGCGTGAGGGGTTTCAATAGGGTAAACACGATCTTGTGCTCATTTTATTAGAGCATAATCAGTGATGAATATAAGGCTGTGCTTGAGTCTCCGATTACCGCTACCTCAGAGGTTTACAAGGGCGTCTCTAATTCAGAGAGTGCCGGGCTTACCGTTTAATTCCACTTGTGTGTAAGTAAGGTTCGAGTATGTTACCTTGTGGCCATGGACCCGTTTACACTAACAACATTACTTGTTTTTAAACAGTGGGCCACAATCCGAATTGAAAAAGGAGTCCCAAAGGAGTCGGGTCTTAAAAGCTCAGCTTCTGTCGGTAAGTCTTCTTTTTCATTTATGACGGTTAATGCATCCAGACTGGATAAATTTACATCTACTCAGTTTGAACTTGACATATGCAGAAAGCAGTGCATTCTGTAGGCTTTGGGCCACTCATACTTTTGTTCTTTATGCAAAAGAGCTGCTGGCTGAGTTTTGAATGAGTTTTCACTGTGTAAGAGGTAATAGTGTGCTAGTTCATCTTTGTGTTCTTATAGGGCATTTCTAGAGGTGTACGTTTAAAGGTGGTTGCCTGTAATTTTTAAAGATGTAGTTAACAATTTAAGAAAATAATGCTGATTAGAGGGGCACCTGGGTGGCTCAGTGGGTTAAAGCCTCTGCCTTCTGCTCAGGTCATGATCCCAGGGTCCTGGGATCGAGCCCTGCGTCGGGCTTTCTGCTCAGTGGGAAGCCTGCTTCCTCCTCTCTCTCTCTGCTGCCTCTCTGCCTACTTGTGATCTGTCTGTCAAATAAATAAAAATCTAAAAAAAAAAAAATGCTGATTAGACTATCTTAGAGTCAAACCTATTTTTGAGGTTTTATTAGCACCTTATTCTAACTTGTTCTCAAAAATGTTCCTCAAGATAACCCTTTCCTACTAAAAGCTGATTGGTAATATGTGAAATAAATAATTACTCCCACCACATGTGACACCTTGCTTTTAGAAAGTAACATTACAGAGTAATGTGGTAACATAGTTACTATACATTACATAGTAACAAGGGCTCAGAAAAGTCCTACAGTAAAGACCCTGGTCAATTTTTGTTAAAAGTGAATTGAGTCACTGAACTCTCTAGTGCTTGTGCCTTTTAGTATTTTGCCATTGTTCCAATAAACTCTTTTACTGAGGGTAAGAATTTTAAGAATTGTTTGAGACAGGGGTTCATAGGAAAGTAGAATTCTATGGAAGGGATGACTATGAAATTAGGAATAAATAAGTCATTTGATTTAATTAAAAGACTTTACATGTTTTTCAAAAAAAATGTAGAAACAGTTTTGTGCCCGTCTGATTTAGGATTAAAGATAATCACAATGTCAAACACTTGACTAGGAGGAATTTGTCTTTCGGAGGCTGTAGAATACTGTAGAAACTGTATTATACCATAGTGCATTTTGGAAACAAAGTATTTGAATGAAAACATCTGCTCATTTTGTGTAATTGGATTGTTACGTTCAAAGGATTGAAACAACTAGTAGATCTTTCTGGTGTTTACTTTAACACCAGGTATTATCACTGGGAACATTTTACCAAGATTGGGTATTTCTGGCTACACACATTCCTTTTGTTGTCAGATAACGTCTCTTGGACATTGCAGATCTACTAATATTTAATTTTTCCAGGTACATTTTTTAAATGTGTATCCTTATGATTAAGGACACAACAAACTTTATTGCTGGTTTTCTGTTGTATTTGGTGAGATTTGGGGTGTCACTGATTGGGGTGGTGGTGGTGCACATCTTGGGCCGTGAATTAATGCACAAGGTGTTTCAATTTGGTAGGCTAAGAGGATTAAAAATCAGTAGGTGAGGGTGTCCTTAGCATTAGTTTAGATTTTTTAGCCTGTACTGAACTGAATGGTGTCACTTGTTGGATTCCTTCCTTCCTTTTTTTTTGTTTTTGCCATGCTCTGTCTTTTCCATGGTACCTCCAGAAAAGAGTGGAAGTGAACAAGAGGAGAAAATATAAATCATAATGGTTTAGAGTAAGGCTGAAGTCTCCTAAATTTATCTTCTTTTATTCAGAGTAGCTGTTCCTTTTAGCCATGAAATAGGCAATGATTATTGGCCGTTACTGAGCATTTGCTACTTATGAGTTTGATGAGCTCTGCAGACCACTAAGTTACGCTTCCTGTGAGGAGACAGCCATCTGACAGGTCACGGCGATGCACGCCCAGGTAGGCCATAAGCGAAGGACTGCGTGGGATCTGCTTCAGTCTCAGACGGGCTGCCCTCATCTCTGTGGACCCTCAGCCATGCCTGGTGTGTGCCTCCGCTCCCATCCTGGTTTCCATCCTGCCCAGGCAGCCTTGTCCCGGGGTGTGTGCCCTGTTCGTGCACCTGCTGTGTGCAGTCCGCATGCAGGGAGCGTCTTCCTCCTGGACAGACGGGCTGAGGCCGAAGAAAGACACAAGCGCGCCGGGCGCCGCAGTCTTCTGCCTCCGGAGCCTCGTGTCTCTGTGCGGCTGCCAGCAAGAACCCCAGTTGGCTCTGAGCCGGTTGAGGTTGAAGCAAGGGTCACAGGCAGGCCAGGGGCCCCAGGAGAGCAGGTGACCTCTGGAGCTGTGGGAGCGCTCCCGAGCCGGCGAGAGGTTCAGGAAATGGAGAGGGAGAGATTGGCTAAACAGGGAAAATAATTGTGTTAATTTCTGCACCCAAAATTTCTTCGGCCGCTCTTGCATCTGATGGAGTTTTGGAAACACTTTTTGAGTCCCTCTCTCTGCAGGTAAACCCCTCTTGCGTTCTGTGTCTCTTGTGCTTTTATTCACAAGCCTGAGGAAAGCCCAACCGAGGGAAACACTGTCTTTGTGGCTGAAGCGCTGTCTCCTGTCTTCAGCCATCTGCTGCTTTGAAACCGCCTGCTTTACCAAGCGAGCTTCAGACAGGGTCACGAGCAAGGTCTCTTCTAGGAGCCCTGTTATTGCACCTTCTTCCAGTTTTAAGGATGTTTCCTCATTGTTACTGCAACACTGAAGATACATCTTTCGTCCCCTCTTTAAGGAACCGTGTTCTACTGAGCACTCCGCGTCTATGGAGAACGTAGTTACCCTCTACCCTCGTTTGTTTCCCAAGGGCCGATGGGCCTCGCCGCTCCAGCCGTGGGACAGGCTCATCTGTTAGACTCAGGAACGCGGTGGATTGAGATTTTACCAACTTTCATCTCACTCTGTTGTAAATCGTGCAAGGGACCATGGACTGTTAAGGGCCACTGCCTCATCCTTGGGTACCTGACTGATTTCAAGGGTTGATTGTGCAACGGACTTCAATGACTCAGGGTTAGGGCCGTGCTTATAATGAATGTAATACACTATGCCATTCTCAGAACTGGAGACTAATTCTGCTATAAATTGCATTATATTACTAGGACATGTTGAATGCTTACCGACCAAAAGTTAACAGGCAGGAAGAAAGGCCTGAGTTTGCCCTTGTCCTGGTGGTGTCACAAACAATACAAATAAATAGAGGCTGTGGCTCCGTTATGTAGGCGCTGTCCTCTACAACGTGCCGTTGGTCTGATTCAGCAACGTTTGCATGGGAAGTGCCTCCTCAGGATCCCCCCTTTGCCCACGCCCGCAGGCACCACGCGCAGCGATTTGGGGTCACATGGCCTATTGTTAATGAAGCTCCCATACTAACTTTCTCTCCTGCCATGTATGTCTTACCTCCCATCCCCATCGCTTCCTCCCCCACCGGCCCCCACCACACACACAAAGGGCAAGATGCTGTGCTGAAACTCCGGATGTTATACCTATTCAGAGAGAATTCAGGTTGCCTAACATTTTGCTCTGATTTTACTTTTGGAATTCTTTCTGTGAGACTTGATTAACCATGTTGATTCTGGTATAACATTGGTGGCATCAATACTGAATCTCTTTCATTTGTAGAAAATATGGGATAATGTTTTGTGACAGAAATTTGAGTATCATTTTCAATACTCATTTTGTTTTGGGCAGGCTGGTTTTTTTTTTTTTTTTTTTTTAGATTTTATTTATTTGTGTGTGAGAGGGAGAGGGGGTGGGGGGAGGCAGAGGGAGAGGGAAAAGCAGATTCCCCACTGAGCAAGGAGCCCAAAGTGGGGCTCTATCCCAGGACCCCAGGATAATGACCTGAGCTGAAGGCAGCTGCTTAACCTACTGAGCCACCCAGGTGTTCCCCTGGGCAGCTGGTTGGTGGGAAGTGGGGGGGGGGGCATTGATAGTCTGTTTAAATCACTTAAGTTGATTTAGTAGTATCGTCTTGATGCAAACTCCCTGAATATAAGTCAGTATCTGCTGTCCTCACAGAGTGTAGTATAGTGCATTTAATGGGGTTATCTTGCTGATAAAAGACTGGAACTTGTCTAGCTACTTGTAGAGAGAAAAATAATCCAGTTACAGGATATGGAAGGATTATAGAGCAAGATTTTCCTTATCACTGCCAAATGTCTACCTGCTTTTATTAGTCTGCCTCTGTTCACAAATCGTGTGCCTGATGGTGGTGGCGATGATGATGAAAATTGTCAAACACACACAAAAGTAGAGGAATAGTATAATGAGCCTGATACAGGTAATATTTGTCAAGATTTTGCCACACTTGATTCACCTGTGCCTTCTTATTTTTTGCTAAAATAGTTAATGCAATATAAGATTTCATGTCTTTTCATGCATTTTAAAAAAAGGATTTTAAAAAATAGCCACAGCACTCCTAGGTTAACTCAAACTTAACTTTTTAATATCATCTAATACACAGTTCATATATAAATCCCCCTAACAGTTTAAAAATGTTTTTATAATTGATTTATTTGAACCTAGATTCAGTCATGGTCTACAGATACATTTATTTATTTTATTGATACTGCTCTACTGGACATAAGGAGTATGGTTTTTGTTCCTGGAAGGAACAAAAATTACTTAATAGCAGGTGATTCTGAGAAAATTCTCTAGCATAACGTACATTTTTATCCTCACAGCTTAATACAGCTCTCTCAAGACAAAGTTTTGATCGTTTTGCAGTCATTCATTTGTAAACCACAGGATTAGTCATCTGTATTTCTTTTCTTTTCTTTTTTTTTTTTTTTATTTATTTATTTGACACAGAGAGAGAGAGAGAGAGATCACAAGTAGGCAGAGAGGCAGGCAGAGAGAGAGGAGGAAACAGGGTCCTGCTGAGCAGAGAGCCCGACTCAGGGCTCGATCCCAGGACCCTGGGATCATGACCCGAGCCAAAGGCGGAGGCTTTAACCCACTGAGCCACCCAGGCGCCCCAGTCATCTGTATTTCTAAGTGCAATATTCCATGATAT